CTTATAACGACCCCCTCCCTGCTCTATGTTTCCCTATCGGGCTTATAACGACCCCCCTCCCTGCCTCATGTTTCTCTATCGGGCTTATAACGACCCCCTCCCTGCTCCATGTTTCTCTCTCGGCTCGTGTCGGAGCCATCTTGCGTCTATATATATATTACTGTGAATGAATAATAACAAGATGAATGTTTTCATTCGTTCACGACAACATCCCGTTACTCGACAAACACAAGCGTCACGCTCTGCTGCCACATTGGTGCGAGTATCGCATCGCATTAAGGGCCTAACGCTATCACAGCAACGAAATCATTGCAACGCAAACAAAACACACAACCCCACGGTTGCTCCTCTGTTATAGTGACTGGCTGCGTGCCTGTGTGCGCATGCGTGCGTGCAAGAGTGTGGGCGCGTGCGAGTGTGGGAGCGCGCGCGAGTGTGTGCGTGCGTGTGTGAAAAAGTGTTGGTAAGAGTGCGTACGTGCAAGTGTGCGTGCGCATGCGTGCGTGCGGGAGTGTGGGTGTGTATGGTTGCGTGCGGCGCGCGCGAGAGTGTATATATGTGTGTGGTTGCGTTGTTGGGTGTGGGGAGCTAGTCAGATTTACCACCTGTATCTACTTGTTTATGCTAATATTTTATAGTATTATACTGTCGTTGGCATTTTGCTTACCGTCCTTAGAGATCATTTTCAACGCTATCCTCATTTTTCGTTTAATTATCTGACGAATCCCTATCTGACGAATCCCTATCTGACGAATCCCTATCTGACGAATCCCTATCTGACGAATCCCTATCTGACGAATCCCTAACCTTCCCTAACCTTCGCTGACACAGTATTCGGCAATTATGATTGCGATCGTTACATTTCTTACACCGTAAATTCCTCGTTTTACTTACTGTTACATATATATATATATATATATATATATATATATATATATATGTAATGAAGTATGTATATACAAGTGCATTCAGGACCGCATCGTATGTGGCATAGCTATGTGTACAGCCTAAGACAGGAAATCGTTTGCCTAGCTATTGATTTACGTCTACAATGCTGCTTGTCGCGTTATTGCAAAAAAAAACATCATTGCACGGTGACGTTTTATCGGGTGGTGACCATTGATAATATGAAGAGCTAACAAATACCTATGTATAGGTGTTTATTAGCTCTTCATAATATTCGTGGGTGAGAACAAAGATTTCACAGCCCGGGGAACCCCCCCCCATGATGTACATATACTCTCTATAACTGCTATTAGCACGGGGTCGTGTATAACGTATTGGATTCTAGCATGAAAGAAGCGTAACTTTATTCACCAATCGGATGACGCGCAGCGGACCTATTTGCTGTGCCGCAACCCCACGTGACTTTAAGGACCAATCAGATTCCGCTAGCCGGGTTTGGCCGAAAGATAACTCACTGAGTCAGCACGGTCGGAAATGATCGGCAATGTTNTCATATTGTGAAGGCTGTATTGTGTTACGTATAGTATTGTGAAGGCTGTATCGTGATACGTATCATATCGTGAAGGCTGTATCGTGTTACGCATAGTATTGTGAAGGCTGTATTGTGACACGTATCATATCGTGAAGGCTGTATCGTGTTACGCATAGTATTGTGAAGGCTGTATCGTGTTACGTATCATATCGTGAAGGCTGTATCGTGATACATATCATATTGTGAAGGCTGTATTGTGTTACGTATAGTATCATGAAGGCTGTATCGTGATACATATCATATTGTGA